GTTTCAGATATATGTCTCTGGACATTTACTATGCCAAGTTTTCTATCATTATCAATGTATAACATAAAAGTTGCATTCGGTTTTGTTATGTCACCTCTTCAAGTTAGTCAAGGATATAGTCAAGTATTTCATTCCAATCCATTTTCATATAGCATATAGCTTGCTCGTATTAAAGGAAATCACATTAAAACACAACATTGAACTTGCTCCTATTTTACTGGAATTTCTTATTTACTCTCAGAGATTTGAATGCTTAATTGTTACACAGATTATTGCTACAGAAATTTAACCAGAAGCAGCAAATGAAAAAGAGGTGGCTATTCCCCCTTTTCAGTTGTTCACTTATGATCTGAATTCCAGTTTTACATACATTTTATAACAATTTCAGTGAATTGTAGGGATATCTCAGATGATTTTGGCAAATGTCTTCTCTCTGACCTGGCCTTATGTAATTGGTATGAATTCTAGGCCAACCATTTCTTCCCCAAGGGGAACTCCATTCTGTGCTGTTGGGCATTGAATATGCAAATCAGAGCAGTACCTGGTAGCAAATGTGCAAATTCAAACCTACCCTTTCTGTCAAAGCGTCGGTAAAGTGGTAAAGTTCCCAAGTCAGTATTATGTTTTCCACTACAGCCTTACAACGCAAGTCAAGACACAGAGAAATCAACATTTTAGATTCATACCTGCATATCTTAATTAAGGAGAATTTTCATAATGCTACTAAAGGTGAAGGCTAATCAGATTGGTTGGTATGGGGGTTTTAGTTCACTGTTGTTTTTCTTAACTTTCCCTGTTGACCAATGCATTAAAATGATTAAATGCTGCTTTGAATGTCTGCACTATATTAGATACGTTTTCATGACCATAAACTTATTTTTGACAAATTCTAAACAGGTTATTTTATCATAAGCTAAACAGGTTATTTTATCATAAGCTGATTTGGTTCAGTTCTAGTGTCACCTTGTAGAGCTCTTTGATCCATAAGTTTCAAAATAATAAAAAATCCTTTGTCTTAAATTCAATTTACACAATTCAATTTATAGATTGAATTTAAAACTTTTTTAAACTAAAATCATTTAGGACAAAAATATCAGGGGATAATACTATTTTAAAAAATAGTATTTTTAAATACAATTTAAAAAAAAAAAGCTTCAAGAGGACCTCCAGAGGGCCTCCCCGGTGGCTCAGCAGGTTGAGTGCAGCGCTGTGAAGCTGTCCGCAGCCTCTGCAGCACAGGTTTGATTCCCGGCCGGCCATGGAGATAACTGGCCATGGAGATACCCACATGGTGCGGCAGACTTCTCCTCTCTCACCCACTGCTCCCCTCACAGTGTATTTCAGTCCATCTGTCTGTTCTGTTCCTCACTCTGTCTCTGGTGAGTCCTCTTACACTCCCTCACCTCTGGCCTGTACCCCAGTTCTTGTATGAAAATAAATAAATCTTTAAAAAAAAGAGTACTTTAGATATTTTGAAAATGTAATGGTCATTCTCACTTGTAAAACATATGTCATCAATTTGTAATGGATCAATATATATTTTTAAATCATAGGTTAATGATAGATTTGAGAAGAATGTTGCAGAATAAATACACCAGTAAGCATCTCAATCGTAAAGTTATGTTTTAGAATGGAAAAACTAAAAAGAAAAAAATAACTTATTTATAAACAATTATTTCCTGTTTGAAGTAGAGGTTCATGTAAAGTGGATTTGTTATAAGTGATAAGTGCCGTATGTTAAATTCTCACTCTGCACACTGTGCAAAATGTAGTTCCTACTTTATTCCATATGATTCTCCCAACAAACCTCTCAAGTATAGCACTCTATCATTCCCATTTTATAGATGTAAACGTTAGAGTTAAAGGTATTACGTAAGTAATAAAATGTCGTACTGCCACAAAAATCAGAACCGAGTTTCAAAACCAGGTCTATTCGATGACATACAAGGATCCTAAGATTTAATCTATGATCTCCTAACAGGACAGTGTAAATATGCTGTCATCTGAACATGCATGCATAGCTTAAACTACAGCTTTGAATTGCTGCCAAACTTTGTAAGTTTTTGCCATGTAAAAACGTAAGTGAGGATATAAACAATGCTTCCATTCCTTCCCCAAAACGTTTGCCTTTGAAGTTGCCGCTGAGCCTGTTTGGATCTTAGTTGAGCATTTAGCAAAAGTTAAAATGTAATGTCAAACTTCATTGGTTGGATTTTTTATTAGATAAGGTAGAAATGAAAGCAGCAGGCAATTTAATTAGCAGTAATTTTTCTGGGCAAGTCATTACTTTGATGAACTTCAGAGCAATGTTTATGGCTCCTAATTAACCATGTTAGTCATTTGATTGAATAATCACTTTGGAAATGTTTCTACAATTTGATTAGAGTCTGACCCACTCTGATAGTCATAAATTAACTGATATCACTTTAGAATAACATGACTTTAGTTACTTTATGGGAATAAACTCCTCTTAGTCATATTTTTCAGGCTTCTCAGGACCTTATAAAGGACAGTGATTTTAAAGATAGACTGAGTTTAAACATTGCTATCCAAGTGTGTCAATTTCAAGAGCTAGATGTTTATTTTAATTGTTCCGGGGTGCATTAGGAACTGGCGAAAACAAATAAGTGTAGTATATGTATTTTTTCCTAAATTGTCAACCAGTGCTTTTTTTTTTTTTTAAGAACATACTTGGGTTTTTGGAAATGTAATGGAGGTTCTGGCATTAGCCTTATGATAAATTATTAATTTATTATGAATTTTATCCAGAATAAGCATAACAATAAACAAATTAGTTCAATAGATACATGAATATTAGGGAAATTATCCATCAAATCCTATTTTTTAATGTCAAATGTCAAGATTTTTTTGAGGAGTATGCTGATTTTGTATTATGTTAGAGCACTTTTATACACTGTTCCTTCAACTTTAAATAGTGGGTTTATCAGAAATGTTTGCATTTCCTCTCTGCCTCTTTCTGTCTCTGGAGGAGACTGCATTTAGTCACACTTATTTATAATAGAGTTTAGCCTATATGTTTTCCTCTAACTGCCTCCAGAGCCAGCCAGCTGTTTTTACAGCCACACTCCAGCTGGGCAGCAGTCAGTAAAAGTATTTTGTGGCAGGGTGTCAACACTGGTACAACAAAATGCTTTCCTCCAAGCAGCTGCTGAGCTGATAGTGGAGTCATTAACACTGTTGCTTCCAGGCCCAGCTGCTTTGGGGGACCTTATGGCTGGCAATAAATCAAAATAAAATGAAAAATTAATTTGAAGTACCACTTGTTAAAATATTGGGCTAAAATGAATTGCTAACTATTTGGTAACCCAAAAGATCGACTACATTGGCAACACTCTCATAAATGCTGTTATCAGGAAATAAGGTCAACACCACTTTTATGTGGAGTCAGAATTGTGTAGTACATAATATTTTATTTAAAGAAGGTATGATATAATAGAAAGTTTGGTGATGAGCTTTAGACTGTTCTCAACTTGTAAACTATTGATCCTATGTTGCTTTTATGGATAGCCATTAAGATATTTTTGACTAAAATGAATTCTGTGGAAAAAAGGTCTAATATTTTGGTTAACATTCATCAGACACACTTTAAATAAATCATATAGACTTTACAAATGGAACATTCTAGGCCAAGAAAGAATGATATTGGAGTCAAATAAATTGTGCTGATTAATATAACATGAAAGTCTGAAGATGGATAATTGAAAAGAGAAAAGGTATTTCATTCCAATTCATTTACATGTACTTTATTACTTGTTTGGAGTTACTGTGCTTAACTACAAGTGGTGGAAAGAGGGATATATTAAATAGAAGAGTTTTCATATACACTATTTTGTATATGTTATTTTAAAATGTAGTAAAACTTAGAGAATTAATGTGATCACATACATTTATAGGTTCCTATTGAAACTATATGTTAAATGCAGGGTTGGGTTCAGGTTAATGAAACCTGAAATTTACAAAATTTGTGGAATCTGAAAGAAAAAGAAATGAAATTGCAGATTTAGATATAGGGCCCCAAAAGGTACTCCTGCAAGTGACTGTTCCTAAAGTTTAAACTTCACCATGAACCCTTCTCTGGTATGTGAGTGAACTTTTTATTCAGAACCAAAAAACAGATTTCAGATACCATCTGACCCAACCCCTGACTTTATAGAAACAGACATTAATGGCTTGTTAAGTCCTGTAGTTTAAGTAGTAGTGAAGGAAAGATTTGAACTTTAATCTTTCATCTCCTAATCCATGTTTCTTTCCTTTTCCCTATATCTAAGCAACTAAACACATTAGATCTGATCACCAATACTGTGACTCAAGTTTAACCACAAACCAAGTTTATTTTTACAGTGATAAGTTGGTTACAGAGGCAAGACCTCACCCTTAGAGTAATAACAGTGTTTGCCATAAAATTGCTGGATTTCTGTTGTAGAGCCTCATTGGTTTTGAATATGATTTGTGTGCTTAATAAAATGAAAAGCCATTCATGCTTTTATCTGGGGGGAAAAAGCAGTCACTTAAAAGGCCAGAGCAATTTTAGGAGATTCAGAGATTTTTGTCTTTTCACAATAATTGCTATCTATCATGAAAGAAACTATGAATGAGTCTTTTGTTGGTTTTTTTGTTTGTAAATACAATGCAACGGGTTATGCAAATTTATTCCACAAATGTCCCACTTTAACTTATGCCACTGTTTGGGACTACCTTCCCATTCATGTGAGTTGCAGGTAGATCCAACTAGAAGTGAGGTAGTTGTGGGTAAAACTTTGAATTCACATGCTTATTAAAGAGAGTCGGTGTCTACATGATATGTTTCTCATTGTTCCATTTCTTGTGTGGGAACTGCCTGAAATGTTAACTGTGTTGACAGTTCCTCTCAAGAAAACTCAAGTCAGTTTCTGCTACTTTCCTATCTATGCTCTGTCCATTGATAACAGTGCATTTTCAACTCCCAACTCCTCTTTGACCAATGCTGTTTCCTCTTTCAGAAGTGCCTAGCTGCCACTCCATTTATATGAGGCAAGAAGGCTTCCTGGCTCATCCCAGCAGAACAGAAGTTAAGTTTTCCATTACTGAGCTTGCTTATAAAAACTAGTCAAAAGAATCAGACACCCCAGGATACGGTCACTTAATTAATCATTATATCCTATAGGAAAAAGTCATTTATATTCTCTATGCTATTATTTTAAAACTTGATCTTTTTCAAGTAATAGGGAGACTTTTTCAGGTCACGATGTCTTGTATTTAGTTGTTAACATGACTCATGTGCACATAAATAGCTGAGAGTGGATTTTTGTGTTCTTTTTTTGCCAACAACCACATCCTTTTTAAAATAAAACATATGCTTTATAGATCACCCTAGCGTATAGCTCTTGAATGAAATTTATCTTCGAGGAATTTTCAGTTTTTCTTAATGAACTTAAGTCATTGTTTTGAAGTGAAACAGTGGATCTGAATGTATTCATTTGTAAATATCCTTGATTTTATATTTTGCAAGAAGCGATTGCTCAGAATGGAGTTTCATATAAGAGGTCTGAAGTAGAGAAGGAATTTTTATTATGGATGTGTTATGGTAACCACAGTGGAAAAACTTTACTCTGTTGGACTTTGATACTTGCAAAGTAATAAATAAAAATGATTTATCTGGATATAATCCCTGGAAATACTATGCATGATTTTAAACCTAAACGCTGTCACTGGCATGACTGGCTTAGATGCCTCCTTCTAACTTAGGGCTAGTATTTATTGTTTTGTATAAATGATATTAATAGAAGAAATCCCTAAGTCCAAAGGATAATACAATGGGCTGATAAATGTACAGTAAGCTTTGCACAAATGAAATGTAACTGTTGTTATTAATATCATACACCTATTGTAGAAGCCAATATGTTTGAGAAATAAAACTGCCTAAACTGTATGAAATTTCACCCTGTTATTTCTCCCTAAAGAGAATAACAATTACATGAAGGTCATATATACATTATATTCATTTATAATGAAGGTCGTATACACATTAAATGTATTTATTTATACATTATATTTATTTATAATGAAGGTTGTATATACATTAAATTTATAATATATATTTATTATATATATTTATATATTTATAATATATATTTATAATATATATTATATTTACATTATATTTATTTATATTTATTCATATACATTATATATACATTATACATTAAGGTCAAATATACATTATATTTGGGGAGAAAATGACTATGAAAAACTATCAGTTTATTTTGCTTTTTTTTTAACCTGTGGACTTAGATATATTACAACAAAAAGTAACTTTTTCATTATGCTGATTACTTTTGGCTACTGAAAATGAAAAGATAAGGTTAGCGTGGTCAAATATTTCTCTGAGGGAGCAGGGGGGCAAACTGAATATCTTTCAAATCATCAGGGTGGTAATGCAGGCAAGTAAAAGCACTTCGCTTTGATTTTCTTCTAGTCTCATTGAATAACAAAACTTGCAAGAAAATGGAAAAGAAGGTGATATGTCATTAATACTCAGTTTGCAGTCTATGCAGTCTCTGTGCCTGGGTTGGCAATAACATAAATATCAAATTCTTATATATTACTCTGTGCTCAGACACTGTTCTAAACTAATATATACTAAATCATTTAATGCTCACAACAACTCTAGGCAAACAGTTTAATTAATCAATTCCATTTATGAGGAAACCGAGAGGCACAGAGGTTAAACAATGTGACCTGAAAAATGTGAACTGAAAAACTGTAGTCATTTTCTATTCCAAGTTTGGATTAATTTTTAACAAAATAGTATCTTTTAAATTGTTTCTAAGCTTCATTTGTATCATGAATAAATGTGTCCCGTTTTCCCCCACAGGTTGTATGTTTGAAAAGGGCCCTAGGCAGTTTTATGATGACACCTGTGTTGTCCCAGAGAAATTTGATGGTAGGTGTTTCATCATGTTTCATGTTTTGACTTATGAAGGAGGGAGTGGAGGGAGCACTCTCGCCTTTCCTGAGTAGAGTCGACCCCCCTACTTAAGGATTTCAGGGCACATCATTTATGATGCACTCAAGTCTAGCTAAACTTTACCTCTTATAAATTCTCTCTTTCCTATCCCATTAGGAGGCTTTTTTCTTTTCTCCTATGAGAGATCACGTTTTTAGAGCTATAACCAGAGTATGGTTCTGGCTGAGCTTTGTGTAGAGTAAAAGGGGTCTTCCCAACGCCTTGCTGAGCACATGCAGCTTGTTGTTTGAGATTTATTGAAAGCTGATCCCATAATTAACAAAGCAGAACAGAAAGCATGCCACTGTGGATGCACAGATGACTAATGCAGCCTCTTTCCTTTTATTGTTCACGAAAAGATGCATTATGGAACACAGGAACAGCATAGCTGCCCATTTACTTAGTGATTGCTAGCCTTTTTTTTTTTTTTTTCCCCCTGGAAAGAAACGCCACTAATGTGGCATTACTTTGTAATTGCTTAAAATGGAGTTAGGAGAGCATTACCTTTTTAATATCCCTCACTGTTGCTGTGATAAAGTTCCAGATGTTGGAACAGGGTGTCAAGTTAGATAGAATCTTCTTTTCTTGACAAGGGTGGCAGAAGTCAGCATCTACAAGGAAGCTTGGGTAAAAGTGAACAGTTAATTGATTTAGTGGTTCTTCAGAGTGGTCTCCATATTTCCTGCTTTGATTGTTTAACAGGAAACGAGCAGGAGCCCTCTGATTAGCTGATTGCACAAACTTTGGGGATCATAGCTGTAATGACTTGGTAGCTCTCAGAAGTTTTTAATTGTCATTATTTAAACAGTAAATTGCGTGTTCAGATTGCTTCTCATTCTCTAATTAGTTGCCTGAAGACTACTCTGTTCCCAAGGTTTGTGCTACTCTTATATTTCCCAGAAGGAAAAATATGTTTGCAAGATCTGCTTCCTTAACCTCCCTTTAAATTGCTAAATTTATTTGAGGTCACAGGGTTAAACTCCAATAGGGGTCTTTTTTTTTTTTGTCCTTGTTCTGTAGTAGATGTTTGCTTTAAGCTCTGGGCTTCAGAGGTGTGAACTATTCTGTTTAGCAGCATTAGCAGAACGTCACACTTTCAATGTACAGTTTTTCCTCTTGAGAAAAAGCATAAAGCCCGACTTCTTGGAATGGCCTCCATCAGTTTCCTTATTCATACTGAGCTTAACATTTTAAGAATTTGTGATAATTCGTATGGGTTTATAATGAAGAAAAATTGCTTATGAATGTACCCAGGATTATTATATAATCTAACAGGCCAAAGTTACACTAATGTTTTAGCGCTGTGAGCTGTCTTGATGATTTACTCCCTTTGACTTTTAAAACCTCCTAAATTTTAGACTAAGGAAACATTTTGGGAAGATATTATTAGTCTTACATTTTGTAAGGATAGTGAACAAGAAAAAAGAAAATCAGTTTTTTTTTTTTTTTTCATTGTACAAGGTCAGTATGATGTCACATTTATAGGTAGGAGTAATCCAGAGATTATAAAATTTGACAGTGTTTCACTCTGTCTGCATAATTTTTCAGTTACCTCCCTAAAAAATTTTGTAAATCTCAGGAGGAAAAACTGCAATAAATAAAACTGTCATTGAAATCAATATGAAGAGACACTCCTGTATTATCTAGCTTAGCTCAAAACAACATAATGCTTTTTAGCAGCATTTGACTGAATAAATTTATATTTTGGCTTAGGTTTTTTAAGTGTTCATTCTGTAATTACTTTAGAGCCATATTTTTGTCTACTGATCAAAGCAGAGTTTTAAAAAGTTGTGATTTAGTCTGTATTATAATTCACACTTTGTGTGAACAGATCAGATTGAATATATTCTGTCTTCATTGTTTAAGAGAGGAATGTCATGCATAAACAATGATACACTTTTAGGTCCCCAGTTTTAGGTCCACTCCCAATGTGACCACTTCCACATACTTTTGAAATGGCTGGAGATAGAAGTAGATAGTCAGTAGCCATGCAAAGGAAGACTTTTCTTTTTTCTTTTGTTCGTTGTTGGTTCTTCCCCCGCCCATAAAACCCAAGGTAATTGACCAGATTTGCACCACAAGCATTGAAGGACTAACACCTTTAATGTTATAACCTATTTAATAGAATTTTATACTATAAATGTATACCAAATAAATGTAATACAAACAAATCTTGTTTAAAATGGAGATTGACAGGTAGCTCTAGCATAAATGTTTTAAAGTGGGTTGTTGGAAAAAGAATAGCAAGCTGGATTCATGTGAGTGAATTACAAACAAAGAATTAAGAAAAATGAGAGACAGTTTTAATTTACTGCTTCTGAAAAATTACTAGTGCCAGTATGAACAATGGCACAATTTTAATCCAGGATGCCTTGAATTGACAGCAAGATTTTTCTAATATATATATAAAGTGCAGATTACTTCAGAGTTTAAGTTATTCTTAAATTTACTTGGAAATATCTCCATTAAAATTTTCAAATTTGTCATGTGCAGTCAAAGGTATTTACATTTGTAATTTGAAGAATTTAATTTGCATAAATAAAATTTCTGCAACTTAAAATTGCCTACCACCTCTTCACTGTTGCTTAGAGGTGTGAATAATGGTATTAACAGTAAAACCAACAAAGTATTATTAGATACTATGGTTCTAAAGAAATCAATGAAAAGGAAAGATAGTTATACAAGTTTTTATGAGTAAATGATATCCATGAATTTATTCTGTACCTGTGTGCATTTATATTGACCCTTATATGTAGTTGTTTGTAAGTTTGTACAGATTCCTGGTTTATGTTCAACTGTTCTAACTCTTTTAAATCTCTATTTAATGGTAATATATTTCTTAATAACTCCTAAAGTGGGTTTTATAGTTCAGTGACTGGAGTAATATAAATGCTATGTCAATGTCATAATGTTGTTAATGATAGAAACTTTCAAAAATTTTAATTTAGGTGACATCAAACAAGAGCCAGGAATGTATCGGGAAGGACCCACATACCAGCGACGGGGATCTCTGCAGCTCTGGCAGTTTTTGGTAGCTCTTCTGGATGACCCTTCAAACTCTCATTTTATTGCCTGGACTGGGCGAGGCATGGAATTTAAACTGATTGAGCCTGAAGAGGTTAGTTTAGTAGATTTTAGTTTAAAATTTTATATATAATAGAAAGATTTGATTATTATGCCAAAATGTATTTTTTTAATGTTACAGCTTTGGGAAAACTTTTTTTTTTTTTTTTTTAAAGATTTATTTATTTATTTATTTATACAAGTACTGGGTACAGTCAGGAGCACGGTATGGTGAGAGAATTCACCAGAGCCAGAGCGGGGAACAGAACAGGCAGACCGACAAAATACACTGCTGAGGGGAGCAGTGGGCATGGCAGGAGAAGTCTGCGCGCCGTGTGGGACCCTTGCTGGTGGCCAGGGATTGAACCGGTGCTACAACCAGTGCTAGAGGCTACGGCCAGCTTTGCAGCCCAGCACTCAACCGCTGCACCACCAGGGGAGGCCCAGGAAAACTTTCTGATTTAGAAGGTGGACCCAAAAAAAGCAAGTGAATATTTACTGTAAAACATGAATGTATTTTGTGCTTGTTCCAATTGAATGCCATCCTATAGAACTGATATTGAAGAAAATCAGTTAGAGCATCATTATTCAAGAAGGCAGGACTTGGGAAGTCTCAAAAGGAGCGTCTAATTTGGGGGGTGTTCTGTGGTCTTTTGGGGGGGTAGGGGATGTCTTTCTGAAGCTCACTGAGATTTGGGTGTGCAGAGAATTGTTCTTGTGAGTTGGCAGTTATTTGGATAGTATAGCTTTGTCTTAAGACATTAGAAGAGGAACATTTAGAGACTCAAGTCTTGTGCAGGAAAGCATGGGGGAGAATAAGGGCATGCAAGGGCCACAGTGGAAAATTCTCACTCCTTAAGTGCTTCTTAGGAGACACAGCGCTACTTGTGTTTCCTCAAGGAAACAATGCTTTTCCTTTGATTGTTGGTGACATTTCTCTTAAGTTACCTCGGCTGTGTACCCTCCATTAGAAGTTAAGGATGAAGTTTAAAATGTCACCATAAGACATAAGAAAATACTCGAATGAGGACTTTGGTTAAAGATGATATAGATAAGTGGAACACACTTTCAACCAACTGTTCAACTCTCTCTCTCTCTCTGCCCCATGCATATACAAATGGATTATTTTCATGAAGAATTTCTTGGTTGAATTTGTATTCTTTGAAGATTTAGGGCTACTTTTGTTGCTGTGGCATAGCCCACCAAAGGCATTTTGAGCCTCTTTAATGATAACTGTCATATGAAATGTCTGTCTTATTAAAAGGTGCTTTATCTGTTACTATTAAAACTTATTTTATTTCTTATTAACCAAGAAAGCTATGTAAGACTTTCATGTAACATGCTTATGATTAATCATCTCACCTATAGCATATAAACACATCAGAAGAGTAGAAAATTCAATAAAAATTTCCTCACCATTTTTGAATCCAAAGTGATTAGTTTCATGTATACTGAACATCTATAACCTAAGCTAATGAGCCTATACATCTTAAATTTTCTGCTCTATTAAACCATGTATTCAATAATAATTAGATAATATGCCTAATTTGATATGCAGAAGATAAAATAACTACTTATTAAGATATTAAAGACTGATTCAAATATATATTAAAAGAAGTATGAAATAAGAGGAGTTGGTTAGTATAATTAACTCTCTTCCAGGTTATGGCAATATGCCAGTAGCACTAGAGAAAGCGATCTCCCTTGGCCCACAACACACACACACACACACACACACACACACACAAAATGGCTCAATATCAGAATTTGAAATTATCCATTATCTTTCATGGGCAAAATGCCTGGGTGATTGAATTTTGTAGTATGTCTAAAACTTAATTTGCCTGTCAAAGGAAATTAGTTTTTATGTAGATATACTTAAATGATGTAAGTGAAAGAACCACAAAAATGTGAAGCACTAACAAATTGGACTAGAAACACTTAAAGTAAAGTAATTTAAAAGCCCTTTAACAGGAGGGGAATGTGTACTCTTCACATCGAGAAAGATGTTGATAATCACTGCAAGAATTGGTTTATGCTTGAACTGAGTACATTCAACAGGAATTTATATAAAACAGTTATTTCCCTCCATCTGTGATTAAAATGAAGTTGAGGAGAAGCAGATTTTTTTCTTATTTTTACCATATATTCATTAAGACAGAGAAAACCATTGAATGTCAGTAATTATTGATCCACTCAGAAGAGTAAAAATACTCAGCAAGTGATGAGGTTCTTTACATAGCAGTGGGTGACTCTGTTATGACCATATTTAAATAAGTAGAAACTTAGCCAGGTGACCATAATTTCATAAAATTCTGAATTTCTGTGATTTTAAATGCCGGAAGACATACAGTTACATCTATCTCATAGACCAAACTGACATTTAGACATCTTTTCTGCAGCAGATTCATAAACTAACAAAGGACTGTATAATGTGAAATCAGTAAACCATTTCCAGATAGTAAGTTACTCAAAGGCAATTGTGCAATAAGCAGTAAAAAAGTCTATGACCTTTGTTCAAAATGAAACCTCCATTTCTGATTGCTGCATTGCTCACAGTTGCAGTTGCTTTCCTCAGGCCGTGACTACTGTTTAAGTCTCCTCTTTGGAAAACATGTGGAATTATTCTAGCCTTAGTGACTCACTGTCACTGTCCTCTGTCTACTATTTAGCTGCTCATGAAAGGTGGTTCTGAAGCCATCCTCGTTGGAATTGCTCTTCCACTGGTGATTCAACTTGCAGCTTAAAATGATACTTCATGAGATTTCAGACCTGCACTCTTTGTCTGCTCAGTCTGTTTGGATAACTATAGCAATCACATAAGCTCCAATATTTCTCATTTTGATATATTTGAGATGAGAGATTATTAAAGCATGCATCCTAGGGAACAATGATTAGCATAGTAAAGCATCTATAGGACTAAGTGTAGAAGTCTTGATGATATTCAAATTTGTTGAGCTAGAAGCGTTACCAAGAAGTCAGACCGTGATTATGCTTCCAGGGTTTACTGTTGCATATTCAAGCATGACTTAAAAATAAGTTGAATAATACTTGCACTAATTACATTTTTCCATTTAATTCATGTGACAATAAGGGTGAATGCTTTAGTGCTTTGTTCTTTTCCCTCTCCTCACTAATAGCCAAAGTTTTTGTTTGAAGCAGTCTTCCTAAGGAAATAAGTGCCATCATCTCACTCATGCCATATTGGAAATTGTGCTTTTGCTCTTAGTGGTGGGGGTATAGTGTTGATTGGTGGGCCCTGTGGGAGGACTGGATGGGCTTTCTTAGTTGGGAGAGCTCACGTATCCTAGAAATCATTTATGTTATCTCTAAATTTTAAGTTTCAATTTTTTTATTGCTATAAGAACACTTAACATGAGGCCTACTCTTAATGTTTTAAGTGTGCAGTACTGTATGGCTAAGCACATTGCTGTACAACAAATTTCTAGAACATTCATCATCTTCATTACCATGTCTGTAATCTCATCTGCATCTCATAGGCATATTAGCGTGTCCCACTTCCCTCAGCTTTATGAAAAATGTAACACTGAAACAGTTCTAAGAATAAATTTTATTGTTTTAAAATATTTACTAACACCCAGAGTGCTGAGTAGCATCAGAAGCGTCAAACTCTTTATGGTATTAAAAAGTCATTTTTCCTCTCCCAGAGACTTCCACAAAGAAATGTTTTACTTTCTAGGTACATCCTGTTGAGTTCCTCTAGTAAGGAACCATTTATAAGTGAATAAGTATTCACAAGCTGTTGTTTACTTTAAGAAGATATTAGGAATTTATCTTCACATCCATTTAGGTTGCTATGTCTATTAAAGAAAATTCACCTGATGTCCATTATTATGCTTTTAATGACATTTTGTTTGGAGAGAATTACCATTGTTCCTTATTGCCATTCTCTAATTTCGCTATTGCTCAGGACATTTCCATTAAAATGAAGTTTATCTTTGGTAAATTAAGATGTACCTGCCACTGTGACTGTCTGCTTGGATGTATAATCATGTCCCTGTTACATCACCTCTCTGCTCTTTAAAAAGAGTTCTGATGCATGTGACTAAATTATACTGTATCTGAGTTCAGGGGATACAAATTAGTGGGAGAGAAAATAGCAAGAATCCGTATTTTTAAAGAGAAAAAAAAAAAAACAGGAAAAAGGTTGTTGCTAATAACGTAGAGAGAGACAGAATGATCTCTTGGAAAAACATTCTATTTTCGTAATGTGACGTAGCAACAACTTAGAATTTCATGGAAATAAAAAGCACTAACCTTATTAGATAATGCTTTCTTGGGGATGCGTAGGTATATGTGGCCTCTGCAGTTTCTGTGCAAGTAATAAAGAGTGGAAATGAATGAGAACGTGCCTTTGCTAGGATGACAAGAGCACGGTATATTGTTCAATATAATGCTTCAGCTAGCCAGGCTGGTGACGAGAGCAGTGTACATATACTGTGAGGAAGGAGGTTTTCTTAAGGTTCTGTTGAAGAACTCTCTCTTTGCCAGATAAGTTCTTTCTCCAAAGTCATGTTATAAAAAACCCTGAGATTTTCACAGAACAACAAAGTGGACATTCTACTTCAGAGATTTTTGTTTGTGGACTCATATACATGGTGACCTTTTCCACTTCCTTCTTATTTTTAGCATCCAATTACTGTTCTCTAAATGAATGCTTAATTCCCCAGTTTAGTATCAGCTACACTTTTACCCTAATGCTGCTTCAGGCAATAAAAATTATTTGCAGTTGAGTTGTTTAATTTGTATACCCGTTTCCTCTGCTGTGCACACTGTGCCACTGTGTTCACTCTTATTTAGTGTCAAGTGAGATTTCTTTTTCTTTCCTTTATCGTAACCTCCAAAAGCACCTTTATAACAGTGCTCACTAAGCTGTTCTTGATCTATAGTTTTTATCTGAAAAGCTAAGGAGAAAAACAGACATTGTGTCTCAGAATGGGAAACTTGCCTCATTTTGGTGAATTGCAGCCTGTTCTTTCTCACTGTAAACACAGTCCCTTATTTCCATTTAATTTTGTATCCAAAACAATAGCGACAAAGAATTCTATTGTGATGTTTCAGAAGGATCACTGCACGCCTGGTTTAAAAAGCAAACCAGGACACAGGAAATTCAGATCATGACAGCTTTTGCCATTTATGTCTTTGATTTGGATTTCTTGGGAGGGTTTGAAAGTTATTAATTAATTAACTAATTTTTATGAAATATCTTGATAAGTTAACACTTAATTCTGTTTCGGTGGCAGGTGGCCCGGCGTTGGGGCATTCAGAAAAACAGGCCAGCTATGAACTATGACAAACTTAGCCGTTCACTCCGCTATTATTATGAGAAAGGAATCATGCAAAAGGTGAGAAGTTAATACAGCATTAAAATTCATTGAAATGTTGCACATTAATCTGAACGTTATACTTTAAAAGCCATATATCTTTCCATTGCTGAAGCGAGGTTTTCACTCACTTTAACATATGCTTAGCTCTTGGTTTTGGTATTAGAAGCCTTCTATTTATAAATTCATGGGCATTATCGACAAATGTATAATATTATACACAAAGTGGTAGACTTTCTGGAAGTCTCGACTTTGCTGTGTTCGTCAAAAAAGTTTGTTTCAGTGCTGATAATGTATGTATATCTCTCCAGAAGAAGTTGATACTCTGCTTCATTCTCCCCAGTTGCATAATTTTGAAGTGCTTTTGCTGATAGGCTCTAATACTAACTGAATTTGGACTGACTTTTTTAGATTCTTAGTACATTTAGAACATATCTTATTCATTCTTAAAAACAATTTTTTCCTCGCCTGAAATCTTGCCTGATAATATATTACCTAACAGCTTACCTTAAAAACATTTATGAAATCAATATTTGATCTTATTTTGTTGGTAGAATGAAGTTAAACATATCTTACATTACTTCAAATGAGTTTCCCTTAATATTTACAAGTAGCTTTTGAAAAAAGAATGAGATAAAAAAAATGTGTTAAGCTTAGTACAAAATGTGAGTATTTTGAGCAAGGTAATGACTAAAGATAAAACATTTGGATATTTGTTGTGTCCTTCCCCCTTGCTTGCATGTTCAATTAATTGCCTTGACTGTGAAATAAGTTATGATTTATCCATTGTGAAACTTACAGTTTTATTATGCAACCTTTGTTCGTTTGGGAGAACCTGAACATATATATTGCACATTGTGGCATATTTATATGTCATCACAGTTATGCCAAGAAAAACTAGATCTGTTGTTGTGTGAAACTTACTTGAACAGAGACAAATGACTTCGTTGAGCTTCCTAGACTATAGGGAATCGGTGCTCTTGGAGTTGTCCAGTTCAGAAGTTAGATGGAACTTTAAAAAAAAAGAAGTAAAGAAAAAGTTAAAATGTTTAAGATCTTTTTTCTTTTTTCATTTTTGCAGGGTTTTTTTTTTTTTTTTTTTTTTTTTAGTTTTTGCTATTTTTTTTCTTACATCATTGTTCATATTTGTACCACATTGATTTCTCCCCTCAGGTGTGGTCCTCATAATTCTCCCACCACCAAGGTACCCATGATCCATCACCAAAGTCCCTTTTGCTCTTCCCTGCCCTGTTGTGACCTGACTCCCTCCCCTACCCCTGCTGTATGCCTCAGATCTATAGTTTATCTGCATGTTTTGCCTTTTTCCTCACCCTTTGCTCAGTTTCCCTGTTAGAATGTCCAAGATCTTTAAAAGTTAGGGTTGAATTATATTCTCAATTGCTAATCATTTACCATGTGTGCTTCCTGTCAAACGTGGGGTCATTTTAATTCCTCTATTTCTCTCATCCTCCACTTTTATTTGTAACCAAATCCTTTCAAATTCATCCCAGTGCCTTCATTATCCTCTCCCTAATTCCAGAAAAACAAGTGGGCTGGCGCTGGGAACACTGCCTGTTTCCCTGGGCAGTGTTCTGCTGCAGTAAAAGAAAATGTACTCAGAATTTAGTTTTACATGCTAGTTTCTCACTGGAGTCTCTTACCACATTCTTCTGGTAAATAGTGATGCTCTTACCTCATAATGTTGTGTTATTATTTGAAACAGTTTACTTGAGACTCTTGCATTGTACCTGGCACAATAAAAGGCATGCTTAATTCACCTCATGCCCTGAAGCCAGTAGAAATGAAGGCATCTTTGACTGGTCTGTTTTGAACATTGAGTCTCTTATTAAAGGGAGCATTCACAAAGGGTAAAAACTTATTTCAAGAGCTCTAAACAGCTTTGAGACAAGTGTTTGATAGGGTCTCTCTAGGATGCCAGCCCTAGTCTTATATATTCTCAAAGGTGCTAATGCTCAGTGCTTTTTCTTCCTATTGTCACCACTTCAGGTTTCCATTTATCCAGTCACCCCATACCCCTTTTGTTAATCTCTTATTCTGACAAATTAATAAAATAAGATGCTATCAAATAATCAATAATGGCACAGATGCTGAAAACAACAAAAAATAATAAGATGCCTCACAATTGTCTCTATTAGACTATAATTGCCAAAGGAAACTATTCACTTCTCAACTAATACCAGATCGCAAAATGCTATATACATGTAGATCTTTTGGGGTTTCACTATAATGTAAGGAGGGGCAGTTTTTTTAATGATATAACATGCAGAGATTATAGTCCGCTTGTAAGTAGCACAATGATCAAGGCCTTTCGTAATTTTTATAGCCATAAAAAATTTCTCGTGTTCCACGCACATTTGAGCCATTCTACTTGCTGTTCTTTGACACACCTGTTACTCCCTCATTGCTTCACTCCTACTGTTCACTCTTTTAGAAAGTATTGCTTCTATCATCAGCATTTTATCATATGTACCATTCTAATGGCTAAGTTAATTCTTGTTTTGTTGTTCAGAAGAGTATTGCTCAATCCTTTAAAACAAATATGTAGAATTATGTATTTTAATGTGTAGGGAAAGATATTTTTATGACCTCACTTGTTTATAAACTTGACACTATGTGTGCATATCATGTGTATAAAAGAAAATTAGATGAGATTAGACAATTTTAAAAATAACCAAGTGGATCTAAAAACGTAAAAAAAATGATCATTTCAGTGGTTATGAAAGAAATAAATGGTGAAGTAGTGCTTGTTATAATTATAGACCATGCATGTATACTTCTATTTAAAATTTATAAAGTATTCAAAAAGTATATACCAATATTTTAATAGTGGTTATTTCTGGGTGATATAATGATAGATTATTTTGCTTATTTGTTTAATCTGTCATCCTAAATTTTCCTTCAAATTATCCCTGTACTACTTTGGACACTTTAAAGGTTAAAACATATTTAAATATCTAGTCTTGTAAAAGCACAGTTCAAAAGATACCACCTTGTTTAATTATGATTTGTCTCTCCCATAAATTTCATGTTTTATTTATCTGTAATTTGGGTATAGATAATGTAAAGCATTTTTTATATTATGATTGTATTACTGATAATGGAAGACTTTATTTCCCTTGGCTGGTTATCAGCCCTTGCTCAAAACTCTGTGGCATTTAACCTAGTCCAATAAATATAGTAGTAACCCTAAGAATGTTTATTCAAAAGAATAATAGAAGGAAGTAATGAGTCAAAGCAAAATGCTTACAAGATTTTATACTCTTGATAGCATGTTATACATTTTAATCCCCCATGGTGATTTATCAAGTCATTTCTAATTATAACCAATAACAACAGGAGGCTGGACAAAAAAGCTCCTATAGCCTAAAACAAATACCCCTTTCTCCACAGCCCCCCAAAAAACAAAGCAGGTTATAAAATGCTCAGAGGTGTGTAGGCCATGTTTTTCCCTGCAGATGCTTAAGACATAAGGGGAAAAAAGGAAAACTAGTATTTAGTATCTTTGTCTCTGTTATTATATATCTTTATTTTTATGGTTCTTTTACCATTTCATCTTTTACAAATTTCCTTTGTATAAAGGGCTACAGTGAAAAACTTTATGCTAGGCCCTGCTGTCTGCCACTCCCTATGTTGGAGACTTCCATGGCAGCATTACAGCAGGCCTTCCAAGGAACTATTGCATTCTGTTTCACAAAGGTGATTTGAGGGCAGTTTCAGAAATGTATCCACAGTGATAAAAACTCCATGTTGACGGTTTTCAAATCTAAGAATACTGAGATTATTTGGAGATTCTAAATTCATTTCTCCTTCAGGGTAAAAGAATCCAGGGCATAAATATTCTAAATCTGGGTCCATAGCAGCAGTGTTCATGGTAGTTACTCCTTTTTTTCCAAACATATATCGATAGTTTAGAAGCCATGAACACACGATTCCCCTACATTACAAAGTAACCAGCAGTGCATTTTTGATACACAGGAAATCAAAGTGTTGAGTAGATTTCACCTTTCTAAACTTACTGAACTCTACACACACAGACACACACACAGAGAAAGTTTCTATCAAAGTTAGCACAAAGAATTGTATTCATCCACAACCTTCCTCATTTTCAGAGAACCTTGATAATTGTCTTTTTAATGACACTGGAGGGGAGAGGGTCATAGTTGTTTCTCTCAATGTTTATAATATCCTAGAGAAACATTTCTCTTCAAAATTTAAGTTTGGGTCCTATCATTCCCTACAAATTATGCTATTTCTTTATTTCAGGCAGCTGTCACATTGCTCTTTCTCATTTCCTCCCTATGCATTGTGTATTCCAAATTCCTTTCACTTTTTTACACCTCTTACTTCAATTTGACACTTTACACACATCCTTAACTTCTGTCTAATGCATTTTGCCTTCATTTTTAAAAGTGATGTATCCAGGATAATGCTGTCCTCTTGATCCATCTTTCATTTAAATAAGGCGATGTGTCTTTTTTTTCCCTAAGATGAGAATACACAGTGCCAAAACAAAAACAAAGCAAAACAAAACAAAAAAATGGTTCACACTGTGAATCAGTGAATCACTAGTCTAGCCTTATTAGGGACAAAGCACATTTTTCTTTCAAGGTTTGAAAGTTTATTTTTACAACAGTTTAAAAAATGTACTATTAAGAGAGAGATACTACATCTTAAAGGATCCTCTTTTTGCAAGTATAGATATCATCTAAAAGAAATCAATGGATGATTTCTTTTCCATAGATGACATTGTAAGTTTACCTTTCTATTAAAACAAGAAAACTTCTAAGTTTATTAACTGCATCTGGAATGAATGTAGTGTAATTAGTGCTCAAACATCAACATTTTGCATTTCCTCCATTGAACTGTCATTTAGTCTACAAAGTAAGGCTCGTGCGTGTGTGCTCACGTATATTTGCTAATATTTAATTGTTTTGTCTTCAGCTTTCTATCTTTTCTGCTATATTAAATCATGTTTTTGGTTTTTTCTTTCCCTGTCCATCCCCATCTGGGGATGGCGAGGATGGCTTTTTCTCTTCTATATTATCATCAGGTGGCTGGAGAGAGATATGTCTACAAATTTGTGTGTGACCCGGAAGCCCTCTTCTCCATGGCCTTTCCAGATAACCAGCGCCCACTGCTGAAGACGGACATGGAGCGTCACATCAATGAAGAGGACACGGTGCCTCTGTCTCACTTTGACGAGAGCATGGCCTACATGCCAGAAGGGGGCTGCTGCAACCCTCACCCCTACAATGAAGGCTACGTGTACTGACACGGTGACAGTCAAGCAGGACCTCCCCGCGCTTTCCCTCTTTTTTGCAAGATGCAGAGAATCTCTGAATTCTCGCCAATCTCTGTTTTATTTTTGTTGTTTGTATTTTATTTTTAAATAATAATACACAAAAAGGGGCTTTTCCTGTTGCATTATTCTATGGTCTGCCATGGACTGCGCACTTTATTTGAGGGTGGGTGGGAGTAATCTAAACATTATTCTGTATAACAGGAAAATAATGGGTGAGTGGGCGGGGGGACGTGGGGATTAATTTTTACTTAGACATGGGATGGGATCCTACAGGTTTTAAGTATGATGAAGCTATATCATGTTTATTTGATTTCCTAACATAAGAAAATGTTCATTTTCTCTGGATATCTATGGTACAGTTAATTCACATTGTGTAAATATCCACTTGGAGACTATTTGCCTTGGGCATTTTCCCCTATCATTTTTGACTCTGCAAGGTGTACAAAAAAAAATACTGTAAATGGCAGTTTAATTGTTAGAAATGACTTTTGCACCTCATGTAAAAAGGTATTTAGAGGTTGCATTCGCCGTTTTTGTTTTGTTTTGCTTTATAAATGACTCACAGAAGATAACCATAAAATGGCTAATTCTCTCTGTAGTTGAGTAATCACCATGACTGTAGGTGAAGGGCACAATTTTGGACTCTGGCTCCAAACTGAGTCTCAGGCCAGTAGCGTTACATGTATTTGGTGGCCACCTTGCTGTTTAGGTACAAATCATACTGTCTTAAAATTTTTGAAGCCCAATTCAGTTTAATATTGCTCTGTCATGATCCTTGGAGATTTTTGTTTAAATGTTAAGTCTGGGATCACAATGAAGCAAAAAATATCTGTCTCCTTTCACTTCCTTCAGTACATAATCCCGTTATTTAATCAATAAGAATTAACTGTACTAAATCACATACCACGCTGTTCTAGATACAGCAAGCACTCCTTAAGAAAAATATCCAATACACTAAATAGGTACTATAGTAATTTTTAGACATGGTACCCATTGATATGCATTTAAACCTTTTACTGCTGTGTTATGTTGATAACATATATAAATATTAGATAATGCTAATGCTTCTGCTGCTGTCTTTTCTGTAATATTCTCTTTCATGCTGAATTTACTATGACCATTTATAAGCAATGCAGTTAACTACAGATAGCATTTCAGGACAAAATAGATGACTTGATCCATTTATTGCTTAAAAAATAGCTTACGCCATGCTATGCTATAAGCAGCTTTTATGCACACTGACAAATGAAGAGTAAGCTTCAGCTTGCTAAGGGAAACTGTGGAAACTTTTGTAACTTTTGGCAAAATGGAAAATTGCAAACTGTCAAAGAATCTGAGAAGTTGCTGTATGACATAGTGCTGGCACTGATACTATCCATCATCTTGTTTTGGACACTCGTGTAAATGTGACTGGATTGTTTGAAAGAAGATTTAAAGATTTAAAGTTTCAAGGTTTTTGTTTTGTTTTGTTTTGCATTGGAGAAAATATTGAAAGCAGAATATGTTGGTTCCATCTACTGGAAAAAAAAACTTAAGTAAATGGTGTTATAGAATCTCTGAATAGCTTGCTGGATGATTCAAGCAAGAAATGTGAATTTTGCTCAATCAATCAATATCCCAGAGCAATAACATTTTGTTAGGGTCTCTAGTAAAATGTTAAAAGAAAACCCTGAACACAAAGATAAAATCAAATCAGCCTATAAAAGGATTTTATGATGAGCACAGGAAAGATTGTAAAAGATGATCTCCCAGCTACCCATTTTCCGACAGGACATATCATAACTCATTTCTATAAACAGTTATTGGCAAACCCACATACTGTAATCAATACCATTCACATTAATCCTACAAAAATATTCTATTATCAACATGTATGTATAACCTGTGATTTCAGTGATTGTTCCACATACTCATATATCATTAGGCCTATTATAGGCTAAAAGTATGCCTTAAAAATCAGAAATTTGACAATTTACAGCACTTAGAATAAAAACAGATTTTAAAATATTCAACTAAAATTCTATTGGAAAGAGAATTGACATATTTCAAGAAATTCAAAGTGGGTCTTTAAAATATATCTAAATGAAAATTTGTATTGAGGATTCTATTTTTTTCTTTTCTTTTCTTTTCTTTTTTTTTCATTTTCTTTTTAAATGTCTAGTTCTAGTTTGCCAGTGGGAAAGAATTAGGCCATGAGTTACCTTAAGGGATCAAAGGAAGGAGTGGTATTAATTATATCATATTTAAGGACAAACTATATATATTTAGTTTGTCATATATGTCTGTATATATATACATATATGTGTATGTATATATATTACTGTTTAAGGTACTGACTCACTGAACGAATGAAGTACTTGGTCAACATTTGGGATATTTCCAATACAGAAGGGTTCAGAACATTGCATTATAAACTTTTGGGAAATGTATCAAAACTTTTTTTAAGTTCTGTTTTTATTCTACTTTTTTGTTTGGTTGTGTTTTTATTTTCAGATAGATTAATAAATCTGGCAGCTGATTTCTGCAAGACGCTTGTGTTTTTGGATTTCTAATTGGATTGGCTACTCAAATACAGAAATTAATGATATAATGTTTTCCTTCAACTTGGTAAAAGAAACTCAAAGAAATATATCCAATAGTGTCTGCTGCCTCTTGAGAATGACATGTTAATACCCAACAGACTAACTGCAACATAAATTATTACCTCCCAAATAACTAAAGAAAATAATATTGCTTAAATTATGTCTATAGAAAATGTTTAAAATAAAAATCCACAAAGCTCATGGTACAGAGCAGATTTTTCAAGTCAAAGAAGGATGAAGGTCTTTTAATTGTACTACCTTTTTACAGATTTTATCAGTTTGCTGTAACAAATAACCACATTTTAGTACCTTAAAACAACAAAAATCTATCCTCTTATATTCAGAGTTCAGAAGTCAAAAATAAGTCTTTGGGGCTAAAAGTGTGTCCATAGGATGATTTCTTTTGAGTGCTCCAGGGGAGTACTTGATCATTGCTTCCTCCACTTCTAGAGGCTGCTCCTCGCCCCCTCACTGCAGTCTCTGTTTCTGTGATCACATCGCTTCCCTCTCTATTACAGTCAAATCTCCCTTTGCTTCCTCTTATATGGACATGTGATTAAGTATAGTATCTACCCTGATAACCCAGGATAATCTCCCCATCTCAAGATTATTAAATCATATTCAAGTCCCTTTTACCACCTTACGTTTCCTTCACAGGTTTTGGGCCTAAGCAAATGGATATATAGGGCCTTGACGTGGTGTGGCGGTCTGCTATTCAACCCATTGTATAGGTAAAAAACTCTCTAAGAAAAATAGCAATGGACTTATCCAAGGACAAAGAAGTTCTATTGAGGAAGCGAGGATGAGAAATTACAGAACATTTTAAATTTATCATTGATATACTCTCAGCTAATTTTACGTAAATGGTACTGAAAATATTCTACATTAAAGTTCTCAACCCCACTAAAGTATCTGATAATGGTACTAAACTTTATTGAATCCCACTCCCCGCATAAACATAATGTAATCAGAGAAGGGGAGGGTGTAATTAATTCTGTTGTCTCGATGCATTTATATTTTTAAAAATACTTTTGAGACTAGTAGGGGTTGTCGCTCTACAATCTTAATATCTGCAAATGATTACTATTATGTAAGAATAATCTAGAGAACATGTCTCTGTTAATCAAAGGAACAATTCTAAAATATGAGCCAATTTATCTTTGTGTGACTAGGAAGGAAATTGATTACCCAGTGTTAAGGCATTTGGCCTGGTGATGGGAACTGCAAACATGAGCCATTGTCAGGAAACATTTCAGAATTTATAATAACAAAGCATTACAGAGGAGAAGTCCTTTAAATGATTCAATTTGGTTTCCTAAAAGAGAAAAATTATAATTCAGAAATAAGAAATGAGTGAGCTATTTTCCACTTACAGTTTGATATGAGGAAGGAGAAAAATAGAGCTGTAAAAAAATGGAAATTAGGTAAAAATAGTTGGAGGAGGTAAAAGAAGGTAAATGAACACTTAGAACAATTGTGATAAGAAATGCATAAAGCCAAATTTCAAAAAGGTTGGACCTGATTATAAAAAGCAAGCCCCAATTTACTTAGAATTTGTTACTTTTAGGGGCAGACTTTTTTTTTAATTCAAGACTTCATTTAGAATTGTTTCTTTATATATGGAAGAGCTATGGTTTATGAGTTCATGTGTAAGGTAGAGGGTTTTTTTGCAGAGAGATTCCAATATCCATTATAAAATTGGGGAAATTTTTATTCACTTGGATGTATTAAAATTATACATAAGGTTTGAGAAAATATATGAAATTTATGTGATTATAGCAAATTGAATATGCTCAAAATTTAAAATAAAAGGCCAGAAATTGAAAATATTAGACTATCATCCTCACTTTGGAAGTTGGCAAATGTGCACCTGATCAGTGTCCCCTAAATTTTGACTGACTGCTAATCATTGGAGTCTTTGAGTACTTGAGTAGTATCTTTGTTCTCTTCCGTCACTTTCTAGGTATCTCTGTAAGCTTAGGTCTTATGATACCTTATTTTTTTTCTAGTTCTATGTTCTAATTTCTTCAAATACATTATTTTCCTTAGTCCCTTTAGCAAGTTTATCTCAGGAAGAGATTTTGGATTATACATTATCTAAATGATTTCAGTGACTCATGGAACAGAGACCAAGCATACATGACATAAGTTATTGCTCTACCCCTGATGGACTTTGAGAAGAAGCTGAGGTTAATGGCAAAACCAAAATAATCCACAGCAACATCAAATCATGTTTTCTAGTTTTACTGAGAAATAATTGACATGCATTACTACATAAGTTTAAGTGGTATAGCACCATGCTTTGATTTATATATATCATGACATGATTATCAAATGATTTTTATTTATTTTCTTATTCTTTAAGCATTTAAAAAGCAAAATGACTGAAGCTAATACTGCTTTTGTTATTTCCACTGGAGAAGAATACAGCTTAATGATCCCAAAAGAGACAAATATAGTGATCAAATTCTTTCAGAATTTTGTAAACACTGCCCCCATGATCCCTGCTATTTAACATGATCTGAAAGGAATAGGTGTCTCAGAAAAATCTTGCAGTATTGATATAAAGTTACATGAATTAGAAGAAGTAACATTTTTTTAAGTAGAACTGGAAGCATAAAGTTTTTTATTAAAATTTCTTGAAACATAGCATTGCTGAAAGCAGACTATGACATCTTACATACATTTTAATTTTCTGAATAATCAATAGAACTATTTGCCCTATAGAAAGTTGAATATGAATTTAGTGGACAGAAGGAAATGTGGTGGGAAAAAAAAAAACATTGTGTGTGACACCACATTTTAAACTGCAAGATAAGACATATTTAATACTTATATTTAAATATTAAACAAAATTATAGTAAAATATGTGACACCTTGTTATTTCAGTCATTTTGAGTGTACCATTCAATAAAATTATATTCATAATTTGCATAAGCCAATACCACTATTTTGAAATCATTCAGTCTTTAACTCTAAAATTATTAAAAATCTAAAGGAGATACTTTGTTATATATTAGAATTAGAAACGTAAAAATTGTAATTTTATGCTTTCTTAATAATTAACTTGTTCCTTTATTAATATTTTAGCCTGGATTTTATGCTATAGTCTTTAATAGCTTTATTACAGAAAAAAATGTGCAAATACTGTTTTTACAAAGCCCTAATAATTGTTGTGGAGAGAAAGTTTTATTTAGGTAACTAACTTATTTGATGTTTCAAAAATAACTCAGTTATTTCAATGTATGTTAACATATAAAAGCAGCCCGTTAAAAAAGCCTCACTTCAGCGAACAGTAAACTAATCTCTTTCACTCAAGTTTTTTAGTTTGAATTGAAAGATGTGATGAACACAGTAAAGCTATGCTTAAACTCTTGAAGACTGTGATAATTTCAGATAATGTTTTTAAGGGAAAAATTACCAAATAGAAACTTGGTAGATTTAATAACAGTATTTAATTAATGTGAAATCAGACTATCAAGATAAATTGGGTATCTCTACTACTCCTTCCTCATATTCTTAGTCTAGACACTGGGAACTTTCTAAATTAGAACTGAAACTGAATATTTTTCTATGGCTTTCCAAGTTTCTTACAGATTCCTTTCAAAATCTCTTTCGTGAAATATGGTACTTCACCCACATATAGTTAAAATCCCTGGCTTTAGAATCATTTAGTATGAGTAATTTTTTCCTTTATTATCAAAGTGACCACATCTAAGAGATAAAGTTTTATTTGGTTAGGTTTTCCCTCACATATATGACAACTGACCAAATGAGAAACATTCCAAATTTATTTCTTGCTTTTTGTTTGTTTGATGAACAACATGTATTGTAGGTGTAAATAGTGTTACAAATAGCCCCTAAAATTTCCATTGCAGTAACTTCATGTGCTTACCTTGAAATTTAATATCAAGGAAATTATAAAATGGAATTAACTGAAAAAAAGATTTCTGCCCCAGAATTTGCTGTTTATTTTCACAATGATTTGTGAATATGCAGACCCTGAAGCATTATTTCTGAAACAAAAACAAGAGAAAAAAAATATTTGGATAATTTAGGTCCCAAAG